GAGATGGAGACAGCAAGTGAGAGAATAGAGAGAGAGAGAGAGAGAGAGAGAGAGAGAGAGAGAGCGAGAGAGAGAGACAGGGAGAGAGGGAGAGAGAGAGATAGAGATAGAGATAGAGAGAGAGACCCACAGTTAATGAGGACTGGAAAACTGACAAGTTCATCATGTCCTCAGATGAGAGCCTTTCAATATCTGCTTTACTCCAGCAGAATCAGTTCCATTCATTCACTGTGACCACAACCTGTTAGAGTGAACAATAAAGTATTCACCAAATGGGCCTCCAGAAACATCCACTCACATTAGTCATGCTTTTTATCATGTACTATGAACTGTGAAAGTAGGAAATAATTCCATTGACTAAGAAGGACAGTCAGCTTCATATGAGGTTAATGCACACTTACACATAGTAATACTACTTTCATAATCTTAACTAAGCCAAAACTAGAAAGGAATATTTATAGCTTTTTATTATTTTCAACAAAAGCCACATTTCCTACCACCCAGATATTTGTCCACCCACAAATACAAACACATACATGCAAACACAAGCCTGAAGCAATGACCTTCTCCACACTATTGATGAGAAAAAACAATGGCTATAATCTCATCTTTCCACAAGTTGACCCAAAAGCAGCTGACTCACTTCTTCTGTGCATCTCTGAGGGTGAGGGTGGTTTCTGGTTTTCTAACCATTTACTTACATTCCCACACTAACACTGTTTACCTCACAACATCCCAGCTCCAGGCCTCAGCTATATTTCTACAGTCAACACATCAAGATGTTAGCACATGCATGCAAACATATACACATGTACAGATATTATGCACAGCTGAATCATACAATACACTAGATAAACTTAAAAAATAGCTTAATATTCACTCTGAGCTCTTGTATTCACAAACAAACCTTCAGCAGGAGCAAAACTAATAAAATACCGTTCACTTGACCATGGAATTCCACTGATAAAGGTTATTGTCTTTATATATTTCATCCCTTTACTGCACAGCGTTGCCATTCGGGAACAGTAACTTACTAATTTTTTTGCCTGACTGCAGTATAAAGATCAGTTTTGTCATGGTAAACTCATCATACATCATACACAACACAATGTGTGGGAGGTTGCAATGTTTTTCATAAAAAAGTTTAATTTAGATTTTACATACAATAAAATATAATTGTTGCCATATTTCAACAGCTCATGACAACTGAAATGCAATTTGCAATGCATACAATGGGAGTAAATTAATATACTCCCATCCATACTGTCATTTTTGACATTCCAAGTCAATATAATTATTTTCCTCTCTGTACTTTTAAAACTTGGCTGTTATATGCATGTTGCTTTTCATTCCTGGACGATGAATGTGGCCATAACTTACTGTCTCATTGTAAGCAGTACAGTTTTATTGTTTCATACGTTATATACATCACTGCTCAAATTACATGTTTTGTTTATGTTTCTCAGTGAAAATAAGTACATATCTTCTATGGAAAACACACTTCTGCACACTTATGCACAATTACTGTGTATTTGCTGAATTTAACATATTGGGGGGAAAAATTAAAACTGATAATGTAACCTACGTAAAAGTTCTGACATATTTTAGATTTTTCTAATACGTTAAACATAGCCATTCAATAGAAATGGTGCACTTCAACAAAAAAAAAGAATAATTTGACCATTAATTGTGCCATTTTAAAGAAGAAAAATCATAAATACATTTTATGTGTATTTCATAGTTCATGCAGTTAATGTATTTCTTCTAATGTCTTTTCAGTATCATAATAAAAGTTTTGTTCGTTTTGATGAACAGAATATCAAGTACATAAAGCAGTGTAGTACAGAGTGAGATGTTAATGTGACAGACCTCTTTTACAACCTCAGACAGAAATCACAGTCTTATGAGGTCAGATTCATTATTATACTTTGGAAGAAATGTGTAATGTGTGAAACTCTGAGATATGCCACAAGTGGAACGCTGTTTGCTCTCTCAGACCATGTAATTATTACAATTGCACACACAGTTATGATACGACAGTGGCATACTTGTTTTACCACAAAGTTTTTTGCATGACACCTCCTTCTGCATTTCATCAGGATTTGCAAGAAATGAACGGTTCATGTATTATGTAGAAAATGATGTTTGATTTATTGTCTTATTTACTGACAGAAGCCATAATTTAGACTTAGATTTCAGTGGTAAGTGTAAAAAAGAAAAGCCAAAAATAGCACACATTGCTGATGGTCAAAAAAGTTGACCAAACTGCAACAAACCTAACAAGATACATTGTCCTTATCATGTAATAGATGCTGCCAAGACTTGATATGCATACTTGTGTTCCAGTAAGCGCTGATTAAAGCACAGATTAAGCCTTGTCCTAGACTAAATAAAAGACTCCTTACTGAATATTCTTCCCTAGACCATCCCTGCAGAGAGCATGCAGAGAATCAAACATGATGGAAAGATCAGTACTGTACGAAGAACATAAACCCCTTCATCTGGATTTAATCAAGCAGTGCTCAAAAAAGCAAGACGACTCTTATGTCACTTATGTCTGTTTAGGGAAAATGCAACTTCAAACAGTGGAGATTTAGCAGCAGACAGCGTTTTGGGGAGGTCTCTGTGTGGTTAGGCACTCCGCATTGTTGTGGTTTGAGGAGAGCCATGGTGACTTCACCATGTTGTTGTCTTTAGGCACAGTTTCAAGGCTCGTTGCCATCTCCCTCCTTACTGAAAATGCAGCACAAAAACTCTCTACAGTCTTTAGGAATGGTGTGTAAAAAATCACTCAGGTCAGCACAGAGCGTTAATATAAAACACATGTCATTTTTGCACTCTTACAGTTTCATAACTTCATATCAAAGGGAGAAATAGACTAGTTGAAATTCAGGGAAATTACTCAGAATGTGATGATTGCAATCAATTACAATTAGTGGTGTAGGCTCCTAAAAAACTCTTGACGTGGTTACTGAGTCCTGGAACCGTTTAAATAGGGGAAAGCCTGCTTGCTCTCTGAATCCTTCTCTGGGGTGCTTTGTAGTTTTTAGGGTTCTTTTCATAATTCTTGCAGCTCATGTGTTCAGCTTTTTTACTGGCACAGCAAAGAATAAAATTAAACACAGCTTGAGTTCAGGGATCTACAAGGTTATAGCCGTTCAATCATGCTGAACACAAAAGTGACGCTTTTTTTCTATCACACTCAGTTCTCTCACAATGTTAGACATCTTTTGAATAATTCCATAAAATTTTTATACTGATGTAATTACAGTAGTGACCACCCTTTCACTGATTTAATATCAGATTAAAATGATCATAAAGTTAAAGTGTTGGGATAAAATCAGAAAACAAATTTTGCAGAAAGTTACACAGAAGCTTCATTGCAGGTTTCATTCTTTTACAGAGACTTGCTGTCAGTTTTTCAGAGAAATCTGCAGTGATATTTTTCCACTCATTCAGTTCAGTCTTATAAGTTGGTTGCATTTTCTGCTTCTTGTGATTCATTGCAATTAATTCCAATTACAAAATTAGACTCATCAGTCTAACTCACATCCTTTCAGACTTATAGTGTTGAGTTGTTCTTCTCACAGTGGAAGGATGGACAGAAACACCTGTGAATTTTTTCAGATCTGAAGTAAGAGTGGAGCTTGATTTACTCCTCTCTCTCACACATTTTTGATGGACATGAAAAAGAACTTTGAAGGCTGCTAAGGTGTGTTTGGGTAGTTGTTTGAATATTAGCATCTATTTGAAGGAGAACAGAATGTCAGTGAGAGATTCGGGAACAGCTTTTATTATACAGCTTAACTGTAACTTGTTGCTTTTAAGATGGGAAGAGTGTGGAAGATTGGAGAGTGGACAAATTAAATTCTAATTGATTTGATATTACATAGTGTTGGATGCTTTTGTGGCATTTTCTGTTAAATATATGTTGCCTACTTTTTTCTGACACTGAAAAAGTAACTTGTACTTAATGGCCATTCAGACTGGAAATTATACAACTGACAGGGTGGTCTCTAATTTTTGCATATTATCGTATTTGCACAGTAAAGAAAATTCAAGAATCTGTTAAGAAGTAAATTTGAGCTAACTGTTGGTGCACGTAGAGGAAATCCACAAAGCATTTAAGGATGAGTAAACTTTCTTAAATTATTTTTTTTTTTGGCATGATCTATATTTCCAATACATTTTTTAAAATATATTTGATAATCATCTGGAAGGAAATGCATATGCTATTGTACAGTGATATATGGGCTTTTTCCTTTCATATCCTTTCTATTTACTTACTGTGATAAGACATGAGGTAATAGGAATAAATGGATTCTCCCGTGATATCCTGTGATATTCTTTAGGTTCTAAAAATCATGGCATAATATTCTGTTAAATATTTCTCATTCATAGCTTACTGAAACAAAAAAAATCAAACTGTATAGCACAATTCACATTTGTAAATCACTTAGAGATTTACAAACCCCATCAAGAAGTCTTACTTAAGTGGTCCTGTGATATTCGTTAGATTCTGATATCCATTGAAATAAGTTTCAATGGCATGAACAGTCATAACCTTGTGGTGGTTTACTAAACCTTTACGCAAAGTAATATGTATGCAAGTTACATTCTACTACTTTGAGTTGTTTGTCTATGTATTAATGACTTTTGGTGGCCAACTAGTTTAATTTGATTATATTTCAAATACAATACCAGATCAAATCAGAATGTTTTGTGAAACTACAGCACACATCAAAACTTGAATTTTAATGGTAATGTAATGGTGCCCTTCTCATCATCACTGGTTTTTGTGGTTGGGAAAAAATTACTGCAGATTTTCCTAAACTATTGCAGTGTAAGCCACACAAGCTCTATCCTTGTTTCCATCACATTTATGGAAATTACATAATTATCAAGCCATTACAGGAAACAGTGGGGAACTATATAGGAGAATTTTACAAACCACAAGATCCATGCTGTGACCACGCATGTAGCCAAATACTGTATGCAACAAAACCTATATACAAAAAGCTACATGAAAGAGTATGACAAAACAGAATATGTCTATAGCACCTTTCATAGAGCACAGAGACACATTGTGCTGTGGAATCTGGAGCAGCATCGCTCACTGACCCACACTTTCACACTCATTCACCAGCTCCTTTGATTATCCCTGTCAGGAGCCTCCCAACATATGGTCATTTTTCAGAAGAGAATGTGACCTCCCTGATAGTTCTCTTTTGATTTTCCTCCGTATTGCTAAAGGTGGGCTGACTGATCCATGCAGACGAAGGGGTGATGGCAGTGATGGACTTGTTGGCAGTGGCAGTATGGGGACTGGCTGTCGTCCAGGGCGACCAGCTGAAGCAGGCCCACGCTCCTCTACTGCCACATCGACCGTTTGTGGTGGTTTGGAATGCACCCACTGAATCTTGCCGTCTACGATTTAAGGTAGAATATGAGTGATACGAATTCAAAATTCTGAAAACAAATGAATTCACTTTTTTCAAAAAAAGGTGCTTTTACTTTCTGCAAAAGATGACAGGACACAAAACAATTCATGCTTTTGTTTGACAAAAAACACGGTGCAATATTCTGTTAAATATTTCTCAATCGTAGCTTACTGAAACAAAAAAAGATGGACTGTCAGAAACTTGTTAATGCAGAATGCAAATTCTGTACCTGACTATGTAAATAATTATGTGATGTTCAGTGACAAACTGTGACTATCAGAGGTAGGTTTTCAGTTTGGGCCATACATGCCAAAAGTCATGCGAAAATAATTTCTATAGAAGTCCTCTTATAGTCTTAATGTTAAGGTAACAGTGATTCACATGACCTTTTCTGGCCATTCTAGATTAAACACAGACATTTGTAAAAGGCATTGCATGTTTTACTTGAAGCTTGTAAGAGACAATAACACATTTTATGCTGTATGTTGTAGTTTTAGAGTGACTCTGCGTAGAGCCCCCACTGTTGACTGAAACGCATTGGTCATGCTACTTCTGGTGTTCACGGTCAGCAATGTATCTATAACTTCCAGAAGGCCTAGAGTGATGTTTCTCACAAAATTTGTCCCACCCATTGTAAATCAAACTGTGATTCGTTGATTCCAGTGTCAGTGTTATTGTTAGTAGTTAATCTACCTTCAGAAAGGCAGCTTCACTCTCTAGCTCATCATCAGCAGGAGCTCCAACCACCCTCCTCTGCTGAAAGGGAAGAGGTCATCCCATTTTCAAGTAATCTAGCAAATTGATATTTTTTGGGTCTGTGCTGCTACAGCGATGATGTCAGCAGTGCATGTTTTCAAAACAAGCTCGGACCCTGTGTGTCTAAAATCTCTCCCATTCCAATTCTTATCAGAAACAGAAAGAACAGGGAGTACATGTCAGATAATGTGAATGTATCCAATCTGCAGTGTGTAAAATGTGGGTCACAGCTTTTGGAGCAAAACACACAGGTAAAATAATTTTACTGGGGAATAGCAATGAGAGGCACAGACTAGCAACCTATCTGGATTCAAAAGCATCAAAAAACCAGCATATAACCTTGGAGTACTAATGGACTCTGATCTCAGTTTTAGCAGTCATGTCAAAGCAGTTACTAAAACAGCATTTTATTAGCTTAAGAACATCAACAAGATCAGAGATTTTCTGACTAAAGTAGACCTGGAGAAACTCATTCACGCCTTTATTTCTAACAGGATTGATTACTGTAATGCTCTCCTAACTGGACTCCCAACAAAGACAAATAACTTGAATTGACTCAAAATGCGGCTACCAGAGTCTCACTAGTAGAAGAACGAACCACATCACCCCCATTCTTAAAATTTTACACACTGGCTACTAGAATGTTACTGAATAGACTTTAAGGTACTGTTACTCAATAAATCGCTTAATGGTGTAGGACCAGTACATGTATCTGATATGCTGCAGCGATATGAGCCAAGCAGAACTCTGAGATCATTGGAAATTAGTCAGTTAGTCCTGCCTAAGACTATTGGAGAACCAGGAAACAGCTGACAGTCAACATTAGAAGAGCCCTGACACTAGACACTTTTAATTTAGCTCAGTTTAAAACACTGCTATTAAAATAATAATTATTAATATTTTTTAAATAGTACTATTTTTTACTTCACAGACATTAGACTTTTTTTAAAGGCCTAGAAGGCCCTGAGGTTCCCCTTTGGAAATTATATAATCACATTTAAACAGCAGTACAGCAAAACAGCAGTAATAGCTCTATACTAAAAATAAAAATCATACTAAAACTGCTTTTGTCTCTTTTGAAAGGTGGATCTGGACTTGAGTGTCTTTGACATTGTTGCTAACCACAATGAAACACTGAGTGGCCCAAACGTCACTATCTTCTACCATAGTCACCTGGGCTACTACCCCTACTACACCAGCTCTGGAGTTCCTGTCAGTGGAGGTCTTCCCCAAAACCAGAGCCTCAGCAAGCACCTCAATAAAGCCAGAGCTGATATTGACAAGCTTATCCCATTCAAAGACTTCCGTGGACTTGGTGTCATCGACTGGGAAAACTGGCGTCCTCAGTGGGTTCGCAACTGGGGCTCCAAGGACATCTACCGGAACAAATCCAAAGAGCTAATAAAGAAGTCCCATCCAGGCTGGCCACAAAGTAAAGTGGAACATGAAGCTAAGGAGACCTTTGAGAAAGCTGGACAGGCTTTTATGAACTCAACTCTTCTGCTGGCAGAGAGTCGCCGGCCACATGGTCTCTGGGGCTTTTACCTGTTTCCAGACTGTTACAACTATGGCTACAAGCAGCACCCTCATCACTACACAGGAGAATGCCCCAATGTTGAGCATGTGCGTAATGACCATCTCATGTGGCTTTGGAAGGAAAGCACAGCACTGTATCCATCCATATACCTGGACTATGAGCTGAAATCTTCATCCAACACTGTTAAGTTTGTACACTATCGTGTCAAGGAGGCCATGCGGATTGCTTCAATCGCGCGGAATGACTTCACTCTGCCTGTGTTTGTGTACTCCAGACCTTTTTATGCCTACACCTTTACTGTGCTGTCTGAGGTGAGAGAATAATGGAACATAAATACATAATATTATTTACAACAAAGGAGGTGTGTAGAGTAGCTTAAACCCCAGTGGTGAACAATGATTATCAGAGCTAGGTATTCAGTGTGGTCCATAAATAAATAAACATCTCTACAATTATTTCTGCTAGCACTCCTATGAGATTCCAATAGTAAGTTAGCCCTAAGCTAACAGCAGTTCTGTCAGGACAAACCTTCATATCTCCAAAATGGTAACTTTACAGAAGAAAAAATTTTCTTAACTTTAAATAAGAGTTAATTGAGCAAGATTTTTTTTTAATTATTTTGGAGCATCTCTATTGGTCCGTGTATCACCAAATTTTAGCACAGTGTAAAGAGCAGTTGACATTTTTAAATTATGTCAAAAAAATGAAAAACGGAGATGCATGATACACTGATATTTGGCATAATACATTGATATATTTTACCCTGTAGCAGTTTTACAATGGCTCTTTCATTAAAGAGCCCTGACATAGAGCTGCCCGTTTTCAATTTGTAAAAATGGAGTGAAACACATTGGTCAGGCTACCACTCGTACTTGATGACAATGACTTATCTAGGACTTTCAGAAGACCTAGAGTGACATTTTTTCTTTTTACAAAGTTGGTCCCACTAATTATGTTATGTTTAACTGACATGTTAGGCCTTCAGTTCAGCTCCTGAAGTCCTAACCAATTAGCTAGCTCTCTTGGCTGTATCTATTGGACAATTCTCCATTGGGTGTTTCAAGAATTTGACCTTTTTGCTCCCAAGCAAAACTTCACAGTGAAGTAACACTGTTACTACCATACCTGCAGGATTAAAATACAACAAGCATGATGATGATTAAATAAAAATTATTTTTGTTTATCTCATAGACATCATTAGGCCTTCTCTGAAGGCCTAGAAGGCCCTAATGGTTCCCCACTGCAAAGCCAATACTTGAGTAAAAGTGTTGTCCAAGAAACCACTTGAGTAGACATACTGCACAGCAGATCTTCAGTACATCCAGCACAGGAAGTGAAGTTTATTAGGAGCTATTTTTTCTCTTTTTGAAGTGCTCTTTACAGGAACACAGATGCTGTCACAAACATAACATAATAAAAATAAGGAAAAATTACTTTCCACACAAATTCTACTTGAGTAGAAGTAAAAGCAAAATGTGAAAACAGTTAAGATACTATGCATCCATCACATTTTATCTGAGTACATGCAAATGAGTAAATGTTAATAGTTACTACACACCTCTGATAAACTCATTTTACCATACTATGTACCTTCCAATATTCATTTTGATTACTGTTCAGTAACATTTATGGTGTAGGCCTTTACATATACTGCATCGTTGTGCATGTAACCTGCTAAGAATCTTTGTAGCCACCCTCACTCCTACAAAGCATATGGAAACCCTCAGAAACACACATTGTTTTAATCACTGGTCTAGTACTTGATTGAATCCATCTCTGAAACCGCTCCACTCCTAAACATCTTGAATGTCTGAGATACGGTAAAACACTCATGTGTCGGGTAATTATGAATGGAATGTTATAGATAAGGGCTGGTACAGGAACAATAATATTTTCTATTTGATTGGCCTATCCACAGTTATATATCTTGAGGAACATGAAGATTATGCTGGAATTCTCTACAACCAATATTACTTTCATCTGTTCTTTTTGAGTGTGTTTCACTCCTGGAACTGTACATAGCATACAAATGCTTGGCCTTAGTAGCAGTATAGTTCCTAATCAAGCTATAAACAGGTTAACAAATACCAGGATTTCTTACTTCTACAGTAATAACTGTGTGCTGTTGTATTAAACTGACTGAACTCTTTACAGAGTGACCTGGTCCACACCATAGGAGAAAGTGCAGCGCTGGGGGCAGCTGGAGTGGTCCTGTGGGGTTCATCAGAGTATGCTCGATCTCAGGTACATATCACCAATATGGAACAGATTTAGTTGCATGTCACCAAAATAAAGCTGGACTGAGCTTCCTTGCAGTCTTGCCACGCACTGACAGAGATTGTGTCTGCTTATAAACCTGAGGGTCTGGACTAATGAGGTTTGGTATTAAAAACATATGGGAGAACCTATCAGTTCATTCAGCATTCATGATCAGCATTCAGTTAAGGCAGTTTAATCAGCTGGTGGACTTCCAGCAAAAATGTTACTGCAAATTTTTCACTATGTGCAAAATTATTTTGTATTTGATGTGATGTTGAGATATTTGAGATCATGTTTCTGGTTAACAAGTGAAATGAAAAAGCCTGTGGTCTCAGTAAAATAAATGACATTTAAATGCATATAACATTGAATTACAGGACAAGTGTTATTAATTAGAATATTAGTAAATGAAACAAAAACAGATAAGACAAAGTGAAAATTTAATTAGCATTCAACTTTATTACTCAGTGTTATGGTTAGGATTAGGGTTTGGGTTGAAGTTAAGTTCAGTTGCAATTAGTAGACATTTAGTTGAATGTTAGTGAGCTTCTACAAATTGTCTACAGTTACCCTGAACTCTAAAAATATAGTGTTTAATTTAACATTTGATTAAATATAGATGACACATCACTTCTACTGTATATTGTCACTGTCAGGACAAAATCTTGTATCTCCATTTTTCAGTTTTTTTTGGCACAATTTTAAATTCCCAGCTGCCCTTTACTTGTGTCCAAAGTTCATGATAAATGGTCTGACAGAACATGTTCAAACTACTTGGAATAAATACTTTCTCCATTATCTTCTATTAAAACTTAAAAAAGTTTTTTCCTTCTCCTGTAAAGTTTTTGGACATATGAGGTATCGTTTCAAAGGTGATATGTATCATTTGTCCATTATGCACTGTTGGAAATCACCAAATGCTACATCTTAACAATGTTGTCACTTGAAATAGCATAATTCCAGTCATGTTCATGTGGCTAAAAATGTGAAGGTTCTTCAGCAGTATATGACAGTGATGTGATACTGCCAGGCTATACATGCATATTATGTGGTTTCATTCATTTTCTGTTTACAGAAAAGCATAAGGATGAGAATAAATTGACTAACCCCACAGCCAAGAAATGTTAAAACCCTTAAATTCCCAGATTTATAACATCTTAAGGCTTATTATTCAGTATTTACTCAGAAACCAGTGCAAACTGGTAAAAATAGAAGAGATGAATAGAATCATAGACCCACTGGGTTGTTGTCATTTAAAGGGTTAACCCCCTAAAATCCAAGGCTTATTACACACTAAGGCTTATTATTCAGCAATTACAGGCACTTTAGTGCAAACTGACTGAGCTATTCTTAGGTTATAGAAGTGTGTAATAAAACTGGCCTGTTAAGACTGGCCATTAGCATTTTCTCTTTGCAGGAAGGCACAACAGTGTGAATCTTTATACTTTGAGCCTTTGCCTTCTACTAAAGAAAGAGGATGTGTTTTTAAAAAGTCCTGATTTAAACCTTCAGTCATGTTTTTACACTGTGTAATAGGTATTTCCAGTACAGCAAGCACAACCCATACCGGAATAGTCTGTTTACATTTGACTATTGAATTTTGCTTATGTCATTGCAGAGAAACTGTCTGACAGTGAAAAAATACATCGATGGACCACTTGGACATTACGTCATCAACGTAACCTCTGCAGCCAAGCTGTGCAGCAAGGCCCTGTGCAAGAAGAACGGTAAATGTGTACGCAAGAGTCTGGACTCTGGAGCCTACCTGCACCTGAACCCACGCTTCTTTAACATTCAGCTCAACCGAGGAACCCGCGGGCCACGCTTCCATGTGAGTGGACACCTCAACCACCACGACATTCTGGATATGAAGCACAAGTTCACCTGCCAGTGTTACCAGGGCTGGACGGGTATCTACTGCGAGATGCCACAGCTTGCACACCCACTGCCTCCCCGCACAAAGGACAGTTTCCTGGCGGAGCTGCTGCTCGTACTGTCTCTTCATTTCTCCTGTCTGTCCGTCATCATGTTTCTGGGGCTCTGTCTCATCATCAAGTGTCTCATCCTATAACTAGTGCTAGAGAAACAGGGCTGGATGTCATCTTGGATACTTAGATTTGACATGTGGAAGTACTGTTTCATGTAGAACTGTAAAATTCTGTATCAGTAGGTATTCAAAACATGAAAACATTACAAATGTAAAGTATTGCCTTTTAAATGAACTCTGTAACATGGAAAACTTTATATCTAGTGGTATATTCACTAAAATCCCATTAAAGAAAAGAAAATGCAGTCTGTGGGAATCTGAACTGTTTCTGCAGACGCTGCAAGAATGCAGCGAATATAATGACAAAGTTGGTAGACCAAGATAGTTCTGTCTTGGTTAAGGCTCTAAACTGCTATCTTTTTAATTACACTAATAAAGTCTGAGAGAATTTCTCTACATTTTGAATCCTCTTCAGTTAAATGAACTGCCTATACAATGTGACGATCAACTGACCAACTCATACATCTACAATTGTTTGTCACTGTCCAAATACTTTTAACAAGGCATCTGTGTGTGTGTGTGTGTGTGTTTGTGTGTGTGTTGTAGGACTGACCATAATTATTGAGTCCAAGACAAATAGTTTGTAAGTCATGACTAAATCAAGACCAAAACTAAAGGGAGCTGAGACAAAGTGTGAATGAGAGCAAGACCGGCTAAAGACAGATCCAAGTCAGAGTAAATATGCAATATTGTTACATTTTTCAGAGGCATCCTGGGTTTAGTTACAGTTGCTAGGCTACAAAGGACCAACTGGGTGAACCAGTCTGCTACAGCACCACCCTAAGACAGACCAGTGCTGCATCACTAGGTAGTTTAGAATACCAAAGACAGAATCTTGCCGAATGTGGGTGAAGCAGTTAAACAATGACAGCATAATGTCATAATACGTTTAACCGCACCCCCCCCAACCCCAAATGCCTTTGTTGTATATTTAGCAACAGTCTGTTAGCAAAAAGATGACTATACATCATATTTAAGTGATTCTGCCAAATTCAGAAAAAAACATTTACATGGTTTTCTGTAAGAATGTGCAGAAATGTAAGAATATTAAAAGCTTGGCTACACAAACTGGACAACTCTGTGAAAGAACGCTTTAACCCCTTCAATGGCCAGGGCCCAACATTTTATTAAACACTTCTATAACCTTAGAATACCTCAGCTACTTTGCAGTGAGGTCCCAGTAGTTACTTAATAACAAGCCTTAGTATGTAATAAGCCTGAGATTTTAAGGGGTTAATTTATGACAAATAATATAGGCTACTTGTTAAGATTTCAAGAAAGCTAGCATTCCTGTGAATGTATTTTGAATTTGAAGCTCAAGATATCCAAACATTTCAACAAAGTAAAGGACAATTTCCATAGCTAAATATAAAGTGCTGCACCATCCATGTCAGCAGTGATCTGCGAACTGTCATCAGAGGTAAGATATTGAAAAAAAAAAGGCCTACCGTGGCAGTATGCTTTAGCGAGGATGACTGACAGTTTGCTGCATTTTCCATCTTTATGTATATTTGTATGTATGTAAATATAATCGTAAACAAACACAACAAATCTGTCACACAACTGCATTAAATCAGTGACAATTTTACAGTTAATGGCTTGCATGATAATAAAAACATGCAAACATGCTAAGTCTGGCCGACATCAGTCCAGTTTAAACTCTGAGTTGCTTGAGTGCAAGTCATCTGTTTCTCACAATCCAAGTAAATCCAAACACATTCAGTGATGTTGAGGTCTGTGGTGGTCAGTCCATTGTTCTGAGAACTCCAGCAGCTTCTTTGTTTGATTTTTTGTCTGTTTTCTTAACAGCTACACATCCTTTTAGACTCATAGTGTTGAGCTGTCTTCTCACAGTGGAAGGATGGTGGATTTTTTCAGATCTGAAGTAAAGTGGAGTTTGATTTTCTCCTCTCTCTCAAAGATGAAAGCTTTAAGTTCTGTTTCTCTGATGGTGACAGTTTCGGTGGTTTACCAGAACTGATGAATGTTTAAAAAAGTAAATAAACAGTAAGCTGTGGTTTCTGTCTGGTTAAGGTTTCAAACACTTTGGACGGTTACATTTGGCGAGATTTTAAGAGAAACAGCACGAAACAAAATGGTCCAATCATAACAAGCTGCGTCAGGTGTGTAGCGCAGAGTTTCCGTACTGAGGAAGCAAGGGTTCATTACCTTCATTAAAGTTTGCAAACTAAATCAGTAGCACCCTGTGCTATGTAGGTATAAACTAAACATCAATTTATTTGCACAGAAGACTCTGTGTGGAACAGTTTTCGATGTTTCTTTGTGTTTGCATAACAAACGTTGCTGTAATTTTATGCTATGTGTGGGAGAAATATCAATGTCTTTGCTCCTCGCCCAAGACCAAAAGAATGTTGTATTGCTTTCTTCATGCATAAACCACAGCCCTGGGCAAGATCTGAGTATTTATTTGCTTTCACATCATTTATTGATCCTGGCGTACTGAAGATAACTGCACACGAAGAAAAGAGGAATAAAGAAAAGGTGTGAAGCTTTCAGGGTCACGCACACACAGACACACCTTGCAGCTGTTAGTCTGGACCTGAACACCTCCAGAAACACAAACCTGAAACAGGATCTAGAGACCAAGGAATTCCCGGAGTGTGGAGGTGTGGGATGCACTTATCCAATACAAGCAGCAGCAGTGGACCCCTTGCCGGGAAATGGAGAGGAAGAACACGCCTTAATGTGAAACAGAGCGAGGGTCACTGGGTCTCTTTACTGAGCTCTCCAGAGGGAAACACATCAAAGAGGGTATACACTTACTGTTGGTGTGTGTTGGTGTGTGTGTGTGTGTGTGTATGTGTGTGTGTGTGTGTGTGTGTAGAGGGTTGGGCAGCAGTGGCATGTGTCTGTACACGTGCCTATATGAACTTACCTGTAGGATTAAGCTGCTCAACATGTTGGTTCTAAAGAAAGAGCTACTTATTGATGACTCATGTTGCATACATTAAAACAATGCTTAGCTTTTTATTTAGATGCATCTCTGTTTTGTATACTTGACTCTAACTTCAACCCCCAAAATCCCCACGTTTTTTTCAGCCAGACGAGGACAGCCAAGACTGTAATTTTCAAGAACAGCCGTTCCGCAAGATTTAAACATAAATCAGGAAGTCTTCAGAACAATAGAACAATGTGAAAGAGCAGAATTTCATTCAAAAATACAAACTTAAACTCTTATATTTAACTATTAAGGCAGCTGCTCTGGTCCAGTAGTGTGCTTGACTCTCCTCTCACTTTCAATAAAGCTTCATTTCACTTTTTACAATGAAATATACCAGTGTTCAGCTCTATAGGCTAAACTAACTCTAATTAGCATAACACCCCTCACTGCAGAACAGGTAGAAAATCAGAGATGGAGAGATCAGAGTGGTGTCCCCTTTGCCCCATCCTTCATTTCTTCCACTAACTAACATTTTACTTTCCTTCACGGTCTAACCACTAATAGCAGGTTCTCAGAGGCAAAGTAAGCCACACGTCCATCTCATTACTGCTCTTGGAGGTGCTGCATAGGGCATTGTTACATTTACCATGCTGTAGCTGAGAGATGGCACAGCATTTTGTTACTTTCATTGTCATTTTTTAACATTACAGATGGAATATAGGCTAAATATTGTGTATTGACCCTACAATTACACTCTGACACAAAATTCCATTGGAACAAGCCTTCGACTTTAAACCCAGTCATGCTCGATCTTACAGGCAAACAGCATTTTATTTTAATTAAGCACAGCTTCTATAAAAGCACTTACTAAGTTCAAAGTGCATTTGTTATGATCCATGGTTAAAAATACAAGATGATTGTCCCCATATGTTCCTGTAGAACAGGGCGTGGATGACTTTGGATGATTCTATGTCAGTTTAGAGGAACACCAAGGGAGAAAAGTACCCCTGCCATCAGATTATAATTAACAGTTTAGAAAGTACTTCAAAACTCTTTATTTAGTTAGACTATTGCAATGACAGCTGAAATTCAAAAATATAGTTTTAATAGATTATGGCACAATTATGTTCCCTGACTAAAGATACTGAGATGTGCCCCTGAGGGTACCCTGACAAGAGGGGCCCTTGTGACAGTTTCGTACCTTTTTTTCTGAGGATGGGGAGAATGTTCTGGAATAAGAAGAAACTATGTGTGAGGTTGGGTAAGTGGAATTTTGAGTCTCTTTGACTCTTTTTCAATCTTGAGCCTACTGCTGCTCATTTGCAACATGATGCTTTGTGGATTAAGAGTTTGGGATTAATTGGCAGGACCAAAACAGTGCTTACATGTAATCTTATAAGTGAAGTTTCTTTTATAATTCAGCTTTATATAGAGTAGAGGTGATTCAATTCATCAGCCTGGTGCCAAGGCCTAATGTTAGTATTTGGTGAGGCAGTAACACGTTACTTAAACTCTACTACATAATACTGACATAATCATGCTATAAACATGTCATGAAATATGTCATATGCTGTCATGAGTTTTCATGAGAGTTTTTCTTTAGTAATATAATAGCATCATGTTATCATTACTGTCAATCATGACGTAATGTCACAATGTCTGATGCCATGACGGCAAACTGGAGTTCACAGAAAAATTGATGTGTGACATAAGCTGTCATACCATCAATTTCCAGTAATGGTAATATGACACGGTCATGTTATTGAACAAAATCTCTCATGGCAACTCATGACAGCATATGACATGTTTATGGCCAGGTTATGACAATGTCATATAGCAGGCTTCAGGTAAAGTGTTGAGCCTGCTGAGTTCTCTGCAACAAGCTAGAAGACAAGAACGAAACTGTAAGTTGAAACATCCTGTACAATTATACGGGCAATTAAAAAAGCATGTGGTTTTACTTTCCTATAACCTCTGCTTTTTCATAAACTAAATGTATGACTCACTGAATAATGTTTATTTATTGTCTAAACATGATTTACCGTAATGCCCTTTTTCAAATGTGTCAAACTATAAACTTTCCGTACATTTATGTGCCAATTTCAAATGCCAACAACCAAAT